ATGAGATTAATTTTTTTTATTGCAGTTTTCTCCTCTTGTGTTAATTAAATAATAAATAGTTCATTGGGGTAGAATAAAAAATCTCATTGTCGAAGCCTTTTAATGACCATAATTGGTTCATTATTCGGTTATAACAAAACTACTCCATTCACTGTGGAATAATAACGTATCTTTTTCATGAACAAATTGTTTGATATTTTTGAATGCATTGTTATGCGTACAATAATTGGGTGGTGTTGTTTCGTCAGGCATTGAGTGGGCCTTTGGAGCGATGCGTAACGGAAAATCAAAAATGAAAATTATAATCCAGCTGAGACTATTTCAACCCAATGGCTGACGATTGTTTTATCTTTTGAAATTTTTTTGAAATAGAAAGAATGACCGTTACAAAAATTTCATCCGCGAATTACTGTCAAGATTTTTATTTTAATGAGGTGCTAATTAATTAATTTGACAGTGTAAAATTATTGGATAAATTCTAAACATCCGGAAAATTCGATTTTTCACTGTGGAAAAGGCGTAATGGGACGTTGGTGGGAATGCAAGTAGTTCAGCCAGAGATGTGGGGCAACCTTTACCTGAAAATTGCCGGTGTGAAAATTGTCGAACATTCATCAAGTTGGTGGGAGGAGAAGGCGGAAGGCTACACTGTGAGAGGTACCTTGCAATAGTACCACATACCCACCCACCACCCACCCCCCTTTTACACCTGGCATGTGAGATATCGATTTGCGGAAACGTCACGATGAATTACGTTGGCAAAGAGCATACATACGGGGAAAAAGGGGAATGACAACCGAGAAAAAATTATTAGCGCTTTATCGAGTTTTTTTTTATCGGTATTTTGAGGTTCTCAGATGAGATCGCAGTCGAAAAATGGGACTTGGGGGGTCATTTTTCCGGTGGAGTTGACGACGTGATGAATCAAGTCGGCTTGTTTTATTTTTTCAGTTACATTCAAATCGATTTGTCACTGATTCAAGTCGATCTTGACTCGAATGCAATCGAAATGTACACGGAAATTTTTGCGTGGAAGATCTTGAATTTTTTAGATAGAAAAAAATTATTCGACATCTTTTAAAAATTCATTATTAATTCAATTGGTTCATTCATTTAATTATTATTATTATTATTATTATTATTATTATTATTATTATTCATTTATTCATTTATTCATTTATTCATTTAATCATTTACTCATTTGATTGGTTTATTGATTTTTTTTTATGCTCAAGTAATTCCTGGAACGAGAAAATGTTGAATTTTTTATACAATTTTTTATAATTTTTACAGCGTGTCTCACAATTCAATTATTACTGGTGAAAAAATCAATGGCCATTCAACATAAAAAAGTAATTGAAAATTTAGTGAAGCTTTTGACACGATTGAAAGTTGAGATGAAATAGTGACTGAAATTTCAAGAACTCAATGACCCATTCAGTTAAATAATTCAGTTAATGAAGAATTCCACATAAATTTCATGTTACTTAACGTTGTTAAAAATTTACAGTTATTCTTGCCCGAACTTCAAGCATAATTTTCTAACAGAGTACAATCAATATCTCAGCCTTTGAAACCACGAGAAGTAATGACTCGAGAATTACGGGAAATGTACTGAAATATTCATCGGATGAAAGTGGAGCACTGGAGCATCTCCATTCCCGATAAACTAAGATCTGTATTCCTCAGTGTTTCGCGTTCTGTTCTTTCATCTCACTCTGAAAGATACTAATGCGTGGATTTTTCGATGAGGCAGAGTAAATTCACTCCTCAACCAGATGATTGAAAGAGGACGGATGATTTTTTTTTCAACCCCGAGGACTAAAATCACGAGTTGCTTTACGATATCAGATATTTGGCAATCACTTGATGTTGCCTTTTGAGAAACCTCTATTTACCACACGGTGGGTGAAATTCAGTGCATATAACTGTTGAAAATGATGGGAGAGACATTGCATGGAGAGGGAGAAATGAGTGGAGTGTGTTCGTAATACATAAGCGATGCTTTCCCTTGGAATCGAGAGCAGCCGGTGGGACAAAAAGTTCGGAAAACCATTGGGTGATGAGGAATCGCCGATCTCGCATTTTTCTGTGCAATTTGTCGATGGACTCGTACCATTGTTCTCATCTTCCAACGTACCGCACCATATTTCTCAGGTTTACCAAGTGTTCTTCAAAAATCGTCAACAATTCGATTAACTTTCATTTTATAAGTGTGTGTGAAGCAGCGGGAAGGGTTTACTGTGGAATTCACTGGGAACTTGTGAAAATTTCACTTTGTTGGAATATTTGTCGAAGAATTCCGACACTTATAAATTTTATTTAATTTTCATGACAGATTTTGAAGTTCTAATTATTTGTGAGTTGGAATTTTAGTTCCACCGAGTTTAAACAAGTTGAAAGTAAAAAAAAATAAATTATTGAAAAAATTTAATATAATTATTAATGGTTAATTTAAATTTTGAATTCAAAATTGGGATTTTTGAGTTGAAGATAATGATTTTTTTCATAAAGATTTCAATTTTTTAGAAACATTTGGGTGTAAGACAGAGTTTTGAAGTTGCAAACATTTTATTCGATTCCAGTTATTTAGTCGTCAATAAACAAATAAAACAGTTTAATGTGCCATTTTTTATTAATTTATTTCCATTATGAAAATAGACTGGAGAAAAAATAAAAAAATGAAATATGTCAGATATAAAATATACTGGATATACTCATTTGAAGTACCACGTGCACAAGTTAAAAAATATACTCGATTCACGTCTTGGTTTTTTGTCGTGAAAATTCGCCGGAGAGGATCCCGATGTGCGCAGTGGAGGTGAGTGGGAGGCTGGATGAAAGTTTTTCATCGTAGCCAGCAAGAAGTGCTGGAAGGTGTGGGGATGAGGGCTTTTCAAGGAGCGAGGGTGCATGCGCGACGATTTACCACGTGAGCCCGCGAATTCACGAGCTTGAGGACTAGACCTCCTGGTGTTCAGTTTAGTGCGCGATCCCGTGCCCGACACTCGGCTTCTCCTTAGACCCATCACCACCAAATATTTTCCCCAAATTTATCAATCCCCCAGTACCGCAACTCTTCTCTCACCACCAATGACAATCCACTCGTCAATCCAAAACCTATTAATTAAATAAATAAAAAAGGACTACAATAACAGTTGGGATCGGTTGATAGTATTTTATAGAAATTGGTAATATCGATGGATAAATTAATGTCACTTCCCCTTCTGCGCAAGAAATTAAACAAATTGAGGATAATACTTCGCAAAAGGATGACGAAGTTAATGAAGAAATTAAAACTTTAAATTTCAAAGTGTCTGGATGTGGTTAAACTATATTTATGGAACAGTGGATTATGGAGCGCTAGATTATTTTTCATCGTAAATACGATAATCGCCGTGCGGGGCCATCGACCTGATGCCTTCAGCTGTGCAAGCCGTTCAATTTAACGGTTCATAAGTTAATGAAAAAATCCAGAAAATTCTGCGTCCAAGGCGACGATAGGTGACGGTTAAATACCAATAATTTTATCCCGAGAGTTGAATTAATTTCTACTTTATTGTTACCACATCGAATAGACGATTTTTTTTTGGTAATTATTCTCGCGATTTCCGGGAAATTAATTGGCGGGGAAATTTTTTTGATGTGGGGCACAACGTGACGACGATATCGCGTTTAATCAGTCGTCGATTAGAATTTGTACGTGGGGAATTTAAAATTCAAGGTAATCAGAACTCATAAATTACGGGCTGCGGACGAGAGTGATTAAGAAAATTTTTTTTTTAATAATGAAGTGGGGAGGAGGGAAAATGTGATAAATAAGGATACAATGGAGGTGTGCAAGGTATCGAGTGAAAGTTTATTAAGGAGGAAAGCGTTTTTCATGGCTGTGGAGGTGGGGATGTCGATCTGAAAGGTGAGGTGGGTCAGGGTGAATGATTATTATCATTTGTTTGGTGTCAGGGATCGTTGGGTCATACTCTTGTTACGTTGCTGTTGTGCTGAGGTATTTTTCAGGGTAACGAGAGATTGATAAAGGGAATTCATTGATGGGATTCATTCCCTCGATGGCGATTGCATGAGTAAAATATGGAGAGAACTTGGTCTTTATGTACATGTACTTTCAGCTAAATTATTTCTCCGATATATATATATATATGTTTTTTAGACTCATTGAGTGAGTTTTTATTGTACTCATTTATCTGGGAGTTGAAATTAACAGAGGTTTAAGAACCAGTCGAGTTTTCGCGGAATATCTGTGAATTTAAGAGAGATAGTGAAATATTTCATCAGAACATTTTTATCGAGTGAAGTGAGAGCTATAGAATTGGTTCTTACAAATATTTCGCTATCTCTCGTGGATTCAGGGATATTTGTAGAGAACTGAAATGTTAGCTTAATCGATGTTTTTACTTTAACACTTCATTAATTAATTGATATTACAATTGATATAATATTATTTTTTTTTTATATTGATATGACTCTGGATACCTCGGAAGGGCGTTCTAATTTTTCAGTTTTTATAAAAATTAATAATTATTGAAAATAATGAGAAATAATGAGCAGTGAGGAATAATTAATGGAGATGTTCCGATCAACCATTGAACTTTGTCAAGTATATCGTGTAGACCTGAATCAAGTTCAAATAAATATATTCGCCTCAAGTATTTTTTCCTGAGAATAGCACCAAATAATATACTGGAATCAAATCCAAAATGTATTCAAACATGTATTGTTACGTCGAAGAAATAAGAGAAGTCGAGACTTAATTAATTAATAAGTGGGGTGGAGAGGATTAATTGGGGAGAATACAGTCGACGATCTCTGGAATATTTTTGATACTCGAATGACAGATCAGAAGACAATTAGACTTCATACGTAATAATATTTACATTCTCATTTGAAGTACAATGCGTATACTTGAATCAAGTTCAAAGGAATGTTCTCGATTAAACTCTAACAATGATGAACAGCGGTGAATGATTAATTGAAATTTTCAGGTTAACCATGGAAACATCTCCGACATTGAGTATCGGTGGATCAAGGGCGAGAGCTGCGTTGCTGGCAACAACAACCGCAACAGGAACAACGGACAGACGAGTTGTTTTTCTCGCTAGTTCACCGGGTGCAAGCAGCAACCACGAGACAAGAACATGGCCTCATAATTGGTCCCCCAGTACGGTAAGTTTTCATGCACAACGTAATTCTCATCTCGTTTAATTTGATACTGCGGTGAGGAAAGGGGTAAAAAGGGCACAAAGAGGTGCAGCCGAAGAATACAACGATGAGATATCGCAGACCAAGTGAATAGCGATCTGTTCTGATGAGTATGGATGTAAAAACTATTTTAATTTCCCCACTGCACTTTACCAGCGTTTATGGAATATGAAATATCTCAATGTTCTGATTTCGTTTTACCAACTGCCCTGGTTTGTTCTCCTCTGTTCTTCCTAACTTTGAAATTAAATTTTTTCTGTGGTCAAGTTCTTTGTTTTTTGGAGTGAAAAAATGCGCGATTTCTCCTGCCGCTTCATTCATCCAATTCTCATTTTTATCTTCTATTTGTGCGCGAGTTATTTTATTAGAGGCATAGTTACTTTATTCATTTCACAATGTCAATCTCTTTATTTAAAAAATTGTGAATGCACTTTTTGCGGGAAATTTTCTTCTCTGCGAAATAATATGCGACATTTTCTCGCACAACCGTGCGGTTCTCAGATGTACTGGTGGATAAAAAATATGAAATTTCTAATTTCACTGGAAATTAAATTGTTTAGTTGAGGCTTTTTCCAGAGTTTCTGGATTTCCATGGATTTTTATTCATAATTAAATTTGAGTTTTTCAAAAACTCACAAGAAACGCAATGGAAATTTCCATTAATTTCTTTCTGAAACTCTGAAGTGGGTAGTTTAAAAATTGCAGAAGGGGTTAGAACTGAAAAATTCTAATCGTCGAGTAACGGAATGATGTACGGAAAATGAGGTACATTTTTTCAGGAGTTTGGTGCACATTCACTGATAACACAGTCCACTCATACGTATATCTAAGTTCCAAGTGATAGGGGTAAACTCGGTGCCATTGTGATCTCGTCGGTGTTGGAAATTCCAAATCCTGTTCTCATCTCATTCGATTCTCGCTCAAACCATTCTCTCTATCTTCCGTTGTGTATCGATGCGGGACAGACCAGTAGATAGAAACTCAACCCTAGGACGAGACCCTGACTTTGCGTTGACACTGGGGGAAACTGCAGTTCAAAGTGACATTTCCGGTTATTTCCCATTGATAACAAACTCGCTAATCCCTAAACAGCTTCAAATATCGAGTGATTGACGCTTTGCATTCATCCCCTCCTCAAATCCCTTCATCCCTTCTTCCAAACAGAAAAATTTCACATTTCAAATTTACCGCCATGTCCTGACAAATTACATTTTTACGGAATTTTAACAATTTTTTTTTTCAAATTCCATTGCAATTTTTACTGCGATCTTTTTACAAACAAAAAATGATAACTCAAATAAAAATCACGTTTTAAAAATTTTTTTATTGAATTTATTATTTTTTTTTAAAGAGAATAAAAATGTTAAACTCCAGCCTTTATTTACTATAGTTTAAAAAATCGTGGAATGTCTTGAAAAATATTTTGCTCTCACGGCTAGCGAATGATTTTTTAACTTCCGATAAATTTAAACTATTATAGAACATTTTCTAGCGTTGGAAAAGAATGTTTAATTATTAAAAACAGTTTATGTTCTCTGTGAATTAAAAAAAAATCCCACTAACGACTGGATTTCGTTCCCACCCAGCATTTGTTGAAGCTTATCCCGCTATCGGAATAATTGGAGACAAGATTAATTAAGGATTCGTGTGCAGAAGTTATTATGGTAATTTCCGAAGAATTAGGTCAGACGCGTCAATTTTTTTTTATTCCCTAATTGAAGATATTTATTAAATAATGCTCAGGTCCTCATCCGCTCGTTTCCCAATACGACAATTGCTGTCTCATTGATGGTAATAATTAATTATCGTGATCAATGAATAAAACTTATTTTCCCGGTTATCCCTCGAACAGATGTTTTGCAGTTATAAGTCCTCGATGAATTCCCGTAAAAACGAAATAAGAACGAAACTTCCACCGATAATTCCGTTTCAACTCTCCTCCACTCAAACTTGAGAGAAAGAAAATGAGTCAATAAACTCACTTGATAACGGACATCTGATATATTTATTTTTCATGTTAATGAGGAGAAACTCCAGTTCTCCAGTGACTTATATTTTTTTTCTCCCTCGGAAATACTGTTGAACGAGTGTTTTTAAATAACAAGAAAATTTTCCAACTTGCTATTACGAATCAACGGCAGTACGATAATATCTACGATGTTAAAAGGGTATTTACCCCCCACCCCTGCCCTTACGCACACAGTGCAAACATCATAAAAGGTAATCAAAGACAAATATTGCTCCAGTGAGTTATGGCGATTTCCCTGTTGGGGCTAAAATACCAACGCTTGCTTTTGTAATTACCAATTAGGGGTCGAGCCTTTCGGATATTTCATGTTTATTGATATCTTCTATTTGTGGGATGTACGAGAAGGGATAATCACCCGTAATTCGATAATTTCCACTCGCAAAAAGCTATTACGTTTTTACGGATAATTTTAGTGGGGTAGAACAGTTAGTTTATTATTGTTTTAATTAATATAGACGGAGAAAATTTCACTTTCAGTTTCGGGCATTTGTTTTTTTATTAGCCTGTTGGGTGTATTTGAAATTTAGAGGTAAATGAGACATTGAATTTATGAGAATGATTTTTTTCAATAAATTTAGGGATGATCTTGGCTGAAGCCCTCGGGCGATCGCCAGAACTTCCTCCGAGAACTTCCAACGAATCTCGTTATAAATAAAATAAATATACGGGAGACTCCGGCAAAATCGGACACAGGA